CGTATAAATATTTAGAAATAGCGCCCTCACCATATCACGCAAAAAGCGTGTTTCACAGTAATTTAGTAATATAATTTTCTAAATCTTAATTTTAAATTTTTCGTACTTATGCCTTGAATATATTTTAATCTTGAATAAAAATCAACTACAGTTCGCTCGCATTCAAAATATTGACAGTCGAAACGTCTGAATTAAATTTAAGAGTCTGATCCACGGAAAATTCAATTTTTTCCAGTTCTTTATGCAAACGCGCCAAAAAAAAAAGGAATATTAGGCTTGTATATGTCGAGCAAACTTTTATCGGCAAGCAGCAGCCAGCTGCTTTTCAAAGTAATAAAAGCCTGGAATCAGCGCGTCGTCTTCATATAACCGTAAGAGGCATTCACTCGTTACGAAACGTTATTTGTTCTGGAAAAATTCTGACATCTTTTCAAATACACACATCTCTCTTAAATATGTAACAGTTTACGCATTTATAGCTGTAGGAGAATATATATTATAAAACACTCATGCAAAACAAATGTTTGAAGGTTTATTAAATTTGAAGGAAAACGAAATATTCAATTTTTTACAGGAACATTTTAAAGATCTACTTGACTCGGAGCTCTGTAGGCACAGCATCTTCTCTAGCGTCAAAAATATGAAATATATGACGAGTTTTGTCAATTATGATTTTTGTTCGGGATAATATGAAAGCCCTTATCATAGCACCACATACATATATCCAGTTGACTCGAAATAATTAAATCAATAGCCATCAAAATGTAGGACGAACTTATTAAAGTAGATTCTTTGCTTTTCATTGCATAATTGTTTATTTTTCAGATTTCAGTTGTGTGAATTTTAATTTAATTTACGTTTCGAATCGTCGCTAACAATGACCCTTACCAATTGTTTTGAATACTTCAGATTCCATTCAAACAAAGTTCAAACTAAAGAGCTTTTTGGAATTGGTGATATAATTTAATTAAACAATTAGTAATATTAAATAAATAACTTACGTAGTGTAATATATAAGGTATAAGTGCTTCCAATTAAGAAATTATAAATGTACATTTAAACGTCAGTTGACTTTTTTTCTGTAAAATATTCTACATATCTATACATAACGATATAATGAGATATAGTTAGATAATAACTTTTTACTACTTGCAATGGGAATTAACGTAAATGAGAGGATTTTAATTCCCGAGCATTCCAGTCGAATTAAATGAAAAGTCGGTAATTAATGACATTACCTACAAAAACCTCAATTCATATACGTATATTTATGTTTTTGAAAAGAAAAATTGAAATGCAAACTTCTTCTGTAATAATTTTTCTTTAATCCTACCTTTATTAATTCCACTCNTAAAATCTAGTAAAGCAAACTAAAAAATTCAAATACTAAAAATGTTTTGTTCTAACAAAAGAATATATTGAGTTGCTTTAAATAGTTTAACTCATAAATCCACTGGAAGCAGTAATTTTTCGTTTAGTCTTTTATATTTTGTCTCGGTCTTGATCGTTTTTAGCTTTAGTCTTGATCTTGGTCGTGGTAGTATAAAGACAGTTTAGAGATACTAATTTTGGTTCTTTTTTTTTCAGGTGATAATCAAGGGGTAAAATTTTTAAGACGCTTTAAACAATTGCTGAATCCAGCGCAAGTGTTCGACCTGATTTCAACTGGTCCCAGGCTAGGATTAAGGCTCTTTAGGCACTTCGATCCATTCCGTATATTAGTTTGTAGTGGCGATGGGTCCGTAGGGTGGGTTTTGTCCGAAATCGACAAACTCGACATGCATGTAAGTCTACCATCTCTACTGTTATGTAAACGAGCACGAGAGGAAATGCTAAGGATTTGCATGTTAGTAATACATTTGATTAGAATATTTATGAGCAGTACCTATATTAACTACATTGGGCGTATTCCAATACGACGTGAACAAGGAAAATGATAGAACTGCCATTGGATTCAGAAAATACTACAAACGGCACAGTGAACGCCATCTGTAGCACGATGCTACATTTTAGGATTACGTATTTACGAATACAGACCACTTCGAATTATTTTATGCCATTGGATTCTTTACAGAAATGTCTAAATGATTCATTTTTTATATATTTGATTCCAGCTATAACTAATTTGGCCTAGGTTATACCTAACCGTAGATAAACCTTCACGAGGTGTTTAAAAAAAAAACGGACAGGCAGACACACGAGTGCTCCTATAAGGATTCTGTTTTTCATTAGGACGTAGGGAACCCTAACCCGAAAACTAACTTAACATTGTAGTTTAACTACAAATGTAAATTTGTGTTCACAATGCTGTTTTGTTAAAAGATTTACCACGTCATGTTCAGACCATAGACTTTTNTGAATAAAAATCAACTACAGTTCGCTCGCATTCAAAATATTGACAGTCGAAACGTCTGAATTAAATTTAAGAGTCTGATCCACGGAAAATTCAATTTTTTCCAGTTCTTTATGCAAACGCGCCAAAAAAAAAAGGAATATTAGGCTTGTATATGTCGAGCAAACTTTTATCGGCAAGCAGCAGCCAGCTGCTTTTCAAAGTAATAAAAGCCTGGAATCAGCGCGTCGTCTTCATATAACCGTAAGAGGCATTCACTCGTTACGAAACGTTATTTGTTCTGGAAAAATTCTGACATCTTTTCAAATACACACATCTCTCTTAAATATGTAACAGTTTACGCATTTATAGCTGTAGGAGAATATATATTATAAAACACTCATGCAAAACAAATGTTTGAAGGTTTATTAAATTTGAAGGAAAACGAAATATTCAATTTTTTACAGGAACATTTTAAAGATCTACTTGACTCGGAGCTCTGTAGGCACAGCATCTTCTCTAGCGTCAAAAATATGAAATATATGACGAGTTTTGTCAATTATGATTTTTGTTCGGGATAATATGAAAGCCCTTATCATATCATAATACCAAAAATTCAGACAATTCCGCTGACACCAATTTTTCGCAAGATACTTTGTCCTGTGATCCTTGAAGTAAGGTGCTATAAACATATAAATAATTCTATGTACGTTTAAAATGTGTTTCTCATTACCACAACACAAATTTCGCACTGTGTCACAACAGAAATCTGCGTTGTGGATTAGCTTGAGAAACCACAATATGTAGTGGTCGATTTTTACGATTCACGAATTTTGTCGACATTTGGACACAACATCTACATAACAATGGTCAAAATCTGTAGTTCTCTAGTAACTATTTATGAAAATATTAAGAAAAGATGAAATTCATATCCCTCCTGTAATGCTCAAGTAGTTTCTAAATTATTTTATTAAAAAGGATGCGTTGTGGCATTTTCTCATTACCACATTCATCATGCACAAATTTTTAAATAATCACAACACAAATCGCGTTGTGGACGTTTTAAATTTGCCAATATGCTCTACATCATTTTTGTGTCACAACACAAATTGTGCGCTGTGGATTAGTTTGAGAAACCGCAACGTATTGTGATCGATTTTTACGCTTAATGAACGCTGTCGGCCTTTGGGTATAACATTTACATTACAATAATCAAAATCTTTAGCAACTATTTATGAAAATATTCATGAAAGGTAAAATTAATTTCCCCTTGTTTCCTGTGGTACCTACTCAAACAATTTTCAGACTATTTTACTGACAAAATCTGCAAAATGTGTCTCTTGAGACTCGATTTTAATGCGAAAATGAAATTGAAAGAGACCTTTTTTTACAAAAGCTCATAGTTTTTATTTAAAAACGAATCCTCAAAATTTCCACTTACCTAGCTTGTTATTTTTATTTTTTTTTTAAAGAACCAAAATAGGAAAGCTTTATAAAAGGATTCGTTAGTGAATTTAGCACGTTTCCGTTGGTGTGTTAAATTTAGATTTATAAAAGGTGCAGTTTTTGAGACAAGCATTTTAAATTCTGTGAAAACAATGTTTATATTACTGTGTGCACTTTTTCAGTTGTAAACAACTATTGTAGATTTGCAATAATAATCTGCTGTAAGTACTTATTTCTAGTAAAGATTTACGGCTGTTTACGACTTGAAATTATAGTAGATACATTGTTGGGCCAAACTGTCGTAAAATGTCGATAAATTACAATTTATAACTGTAGATAATTGTGAAAGGGGAAAACTGAATAAAAGCTTCAAGTTCAGATAATCGAATTTTGCTATGCTGTCGATGTAATTCAATTAAACAAAATGTGAAAATGCAAAACTCAGAATTGTTAGGGGTAAATAAGGATTTTATTTATTGAGGAATGGTATTGATATCTAGTAAATGAATTTTACAGTCTGTATAAGTTACAGGTCCAGTAACAGATTTGTCAATGAATGTCTCAATTCTTCAGCTCATTCTCTATAATGAATTATTGAAAATATTAAAACAAGTTTACATGATAATATAAAAGTTGTTAACAAAAAATTAAACTGAAATGAACAAAAAAATATTAACATCACGCTGCAATCCAAGACTTCTTGCTGATTCAATCAAATGTACCATAATATTACGAGATAATTCCACATTTAAAAGAGCGTGGTGGGAAGACGCGCTACGACTCTTGCCGGAAAATTTTAAAAGCTTTAATTTTAGTTGCAAACAAGGAATAGAAATAACTGAGAAAGTAATCTATGTAATCTTCCCTTGAGGGTGACATCATTTCTCTCTGTCTTTAGAAACAGTGCCAAGTTGCAGTTCTTCCACTAGGAACGGGGAACGATTTGGCTAGAGTGTTGGGATGGGGTGCATCTTGCGACGACGACACCCATTTACCACAGTTGTTAGAGAAATACGAACGGGCTAGTACCAAGATGTTGGACAGATGGAGTATAATGACATTTGAACGTACAATCGCTATTCCAAAGTTATCGTTGGATACCACCCAACCTGAAGGTACCTTTAAAGAAACGAAAAAGAACAAAATAAATTTTAGTTGTTCTTAAATAACGATAAGCTTCGCACCTGTTTTGTAAGTTTTACATGATTGCAACGTCCTTTTAAATCGGGTCTCAACCGAACAAATTAAGATCTCAACAGTACAAATTTAATATCGATCTCGACCTTATACGTCGAGTTTTTCTGTTGATTTTGAATCTACGAAGTCTTGCCCTTAATGTACATTACACGTACAATCTTAGTCTTGATCTTATAAACATAATCTGGATCTTGCCCTTAGAGTTACACTTTTGGTCTCATTTTTCGATTTTTCAAACCAGGTCACCGTTTTGGCTTAGTCTAATGGTGTAACTGTTGTATTTCTTAGGTCAGTTACACAGCCAGATATGTCAGTACGAAGAATCGCTGATAAATCATTTACAAAACATTCTTCAATCGGACGAGACATCGGTTGTCCTGAATTCGGCGAAGAGATTGTGCGAGACCGTTAAGGATTTCGCGACGCAGGTGACTGAGAGTGGCCTGGCGCGAACGGACGACTCCCTCGGAAAGAAGTGCGAAGTTCTCCAGCACAAATTGGAACTGCTTATGCACACTCTAACAAGTGAGCAACTTGATCTGGATAAATTTGTCGCTTCTTGTGAAGATGCGACGGCGAAATGTAATAAGGATGACACCGAGAGCGAGGCGTCTTATGATAAGAGCAAAGTTGAGAAAGAATTGAGCAATTTCAATTTCCGACGGCACAGGTATGTACCTACATAATATCAATTGTAATAGCAAAGCGAATCATCAATGACCGTTATCAGTATAGGCTCGTCAATCCTAAAACTGCTTCGACACGTACATCCATTCTTTCCTATCCTGAGCTAATCTTCGCATTTTTAACTATTTGCGAACAGTAATCTAATCTAGGCCTACCTCTACCTCTTCAAACTCCCGTTTCTGCCTCTAATATGTCTTTGACTAGACCTTCATGCCTGAGAAAGTGTCCTACCAACCTATCTCGCCAATTTTTTATTGACTTCCATAGAGTCCTCTGTTCTTCTATTCTTGCTAATACCTCTTCATTTCTAACCTTTTCTATCCACGGTATCCTCATCATTCGCCGTGAACACCACATTTCGAACGCTTCTAACCTTTTCTTTTCCACCCCGCCCACCGTCGATGTTTCGCATCCGTACAACTCCGCGCTCCAAACAAACACCCTTTACAATCTTTTTCGAATTTCTAAATTAACCGTTCGCGAGCATAAAAATGACTTCTTTTTATTGAAAGCGACTCGACCCTGCGCTATCCTCTGCTTTATAATCCCTACTATTCCTTCCGTCCTGACTTATCTGACTTCCCAGATAGCTAAAATCAGCGAGTTCGTCTAATTTTTCGTCTCCTATCTTTATATTCGCTCTTTCCTTACATGTTCTTCCCTTGCATACCAGTTTTTTTGTTTTACTTTTATTTATTTCCATACAATACTGTTTGGTATGATATTATAATGTGTTAATGTTTCAGTTTTTATTATTCTTGCTATTTAAATAGCTGTTAATTGACCTACTAACCTAATGGTAGGTGTTAGAATGTCATTTTAACAGTATCTACCAAGTGAGCAACAGCATTAGATTAAAAATACATATCTATTCTTATGTTGCCTCACATTTGCAAATATGTTTAATTTTCCCCTCAGTTTTAGTTTACTTAGAAATGTTTTACAATTCTATTTTTAATCAACTTCTTTAATAAAAGAAAACTAATTAGTACATTTTCAAACTATCTTACCTCTGTTGAATGTTTATGAATATTATCATTAGATATAAAGGCAGCGTTTAATAAAATTTGGGTAACAGACTTGTATTTGCTATCAAAAGAATGGTTGCCCTAACTTATATTGTGCAATTTACATTTTGAAAGCTTTGAAAGAACTTACTTATTTACCTCAAAATTGTTTGCGCAGGCAAAGTTTATGAAATTTTTATTTTTTTTTTGCTATGTTTTGAGCTCTATATGAGAAAAGACATGAGATAATCACTTTAAAATTTTATTATTATTTTCATGTAGGTGTACACTCACCCTTTAGCTTCATATTACTAATATTTTGAATCTTAAAGTCTACGCGCCGTGAATTTTGAAACGGATATTTTTTTATAGCTTGAATTACTACGATTTATTTTAATATTAAAAACAGTAAACAGTTTCCAGAATATTTCTTGGGGTGAATGTTCATCGCCTCAATTCAATCTTCTTGCTTCTCATTTTCAAACATCAATTCGATCTGCAGAGGGTAGAAAGTGAATGAAAAGAATTATTTTTTGTTTTGGAAATATAACCGCGACATATATTTTTCTCTTTTGTATTTTTCTGCTGTAAAACTCGTCTCTAACAAAAGTAATTAAGTTATCGACCTCAACAGGAATTTTGATGAGATTTAAAAGAAATATATATCGGTCTCGGTAAANCCTATAGGCCCCCCGAAAAATGACCCCGTATTCAAAATTAATTTATTTACGTTAAGCGTCCGTGTTTGGGTCACAAAAATTCATTTGTGTACTATATTTCAACAACAATCGGTCCAGTAGATTCGGAGCAAATTGACTGTGACAGACGAACAGACAGGCACACGAGTGATTTTATAAGGGTTCCGTTTTTCTTTCGGACGTACGGAACCCCAAAAAGCATATAAGTAGTAAAAAATAAATAAACAATTAGGTTATACTTTAATTAGATTATCCTCTAGTTTGGCCCAGCAGAAAAAAAATAAATATGAAATCGGATGTGACTGGTAACACTCCAGAGCAAACTAATCTGGACTACATCAATCTGGTTAATCCTGTTGTTCTTTGGATAATCTAGTTTGGTCTTGTCATGTACTAACTGTAATTCTTCTATCCTGTAATCGGGTTTGACTGGTACCATTTCAAAACAAACTAGTTTGATGTAGGCAAAATTTTTCGCCTTTTACTGTGTGGTTCTATGACCACATAAGGGTGTTAATAATTGTGTTAAAATCGCGTAAAATAGCGCATGATCTTCAGTTAGAAAGCTGTAAATAACGCGCCGCTAAATACTGACGGATTGACAATGTTATCAAACGGGGAGGAAGCTGTGGATGATGACGAAAATATCGTGAAAAAAATGTGACATTTTATTTTTTCGGAAAATTGACTTGATAGGACAATGAATGTTCATTCAGATTTCGAAGTAATGAGCTAATGGTCCTCTGATGCTGTTAATATACCTTGATAACTTCGTTATTCTGTTTTCTTTAACAATTTGGTTTAGCTTTGCTCTAGTCAAAGTTATCCTATTACTCTTTGAATAAACTAATTTAACCTAGGCAAAACTAGCACCACATACATACACATATATCCAGTTCACTCGAAATAATTAAATTAATTACCATAAAAATGTATGACGAAGAAGCTTGACTCGCATAAAACTTATTCAGGTAGATTCTTTGCATTTCATTGCATAGTTGTTGATTTTTCGGATTTTAGTTGTGTGAATTTTAATTTAATTTACGTTTCGAATCGTCGCTAACAATGACCCTTACCAATTGTTTTGAATACTTCAGATTCCATTCAAACAAAGTTCAAACTAAAGAGCTTTTTGGAATTGGTGATATAATTTAATTAAACAATTAGTAATATTAAATAAATAACTTACGTAGTGTAATATATAAGGTATAAGTGCTTCCAATTAAGAAATTATAAATGTACATTTAAACGTCAGTTGACTTTTTTCTGTAAAATATTCTACATATCTATACATAACGATATAATGAGATATAGTTAGATAATAACTTTTTACTACTTGCAATGGGAATTAACGTAAATGCGAGGATTTTAATTCCCGAGCATTCCAGTCGAATTAAATGAAAAGTCGGTAATTAATGACATTACCTACAAAAACCTCAATTCATATACGTATATTTATGTTTTTGAAAAGAAAAATTGAAATGCAAACTTCTTCTGTAATAATTTTTCTTTAATCCTACCTTTATTAATTCCACTCGCAAAAACGGAACTGTCTAAAATTAAAATTCACCTACTAAAAATATCTTTTGTGTAACTGGTCCCGTCATCTCTTTTGTGGAGGATATAAAGCTGCAACGGTAGAATGGTTCAAAGATTAAAGTTGTCACAAAATAAGCTCCTTAAGGCTTATAACAACCAATGAAAAATCGAGGTAACTAACCGACGTCGTGGCGCGACGTGACGTATAACGTCACTATATAATCCAAAAAGCCACCAGCTGTCGCTTTTCTGAATCCTAGACAAAAGCTTCACCAGTAATTAACACATTAGTAGATAGGTTTTTAAAATACAATATTTTTACAATATATGTTTCAAAAACCGATAATTAATTAAACGTCGCGGCGCTACAAAGAACCCATTCATANTTTAAATTCTGTGAAAATAATGTTTATATTACTGTGCACTTTTGCAGTTGTAAACAACTATTGTAGATTTGCAATAATAATCTGCTGGAGTTCCTATTGCTAAAAAAGATTTACGGCTGTTTACGACTTGAAATTATAGTAAATACATTGTTGGGCCAAACAGTTAAGCAGTTAGGGCGTGAAATCGTCGCAAACAAATTCACATTCGTATTTATAATATTACTTAGAATGGTTGGTTTCCATAGTTGTTTCTATTTTGTTTTCGTGAAAGGGGGGAAATCTTCATAGACATCCTGCCACCCATATGCCAACGATTTATCTGGGTTAAGGCGCCAGGCATCATATTAAGAAGAGACACTTTCATACGTATAAATATTTAGAAATAGCGCCCTCACCATATCACGCAAAAAGCGTGTTTCACAGTAATTTAGTAATATAATTTTCTAAATCTTAATTTTAAATTTTTCGTACTTATGCCTTGAATATATTTTAATCTTGAATAAAAATCAACTACAGTTCGCTCGCATTCAAAATATTGACAGTCGAAACGTCTGAATTAAATTTAAGAGTCTGATCCACGGAAAATTCAATTTTTTCCAGTTCTTTATGCAAACGCGCCAAAAAAAAAAGGAATATTAGGCTTGTATATGTCGAGCAAACTTTTATCGGCAAGCAGCAGCCAGCTGCTTTTCAAAGTAATAAAAGCCTGGAATCAGCGCGTCGTCTTCATATAACCGTAAGAGGCATTCACTCGTTACGAAACGTTATTTGTTCTGGAAAAATTCTGACATCTTTTCAAATACACACATCTCTCTTAAATATGTAACAGTTTACGCATTTATAGCTGTAGGAGAATATATATTATAAAACACTCATGCAAAACAAATGTTTGAAGGTTTATTAAATTTGAAGGAAAACGAAATATTCAATTTTTTACAGGAACATTTTAAAGATCTACTTGACTCGGAGCTCTGTAGGCACAGCATCTTCTCTAGCGTCAAAAATATGAAATATATGACGAGTTTTGTCAATTATGATTTTTGTTCGGGATAATATGAAAGCCCTTATCATATCATAATACCAAAAATTCAGACAATTCCGCTGACACCAATTTTTCGCAAGATACTTTGTCCTGTGATCCTTGAAGTAAGGTGCTATAAACATATAAATAATTCTATGTACGTTTAAAATGTGTTTCTCATTACCACAACACAAATTTCGCACTGTGTCACAACAGAAATCTGCGTTGTGGATTAGCTTGAGAAACCACAATATGTAGTGGTCGATTTTTACGATTCACGAATTTTGTCGACATTTGGACACAACATCTACATAACAATGGTCAAAATCTGTAGTTCTCTAGTAACTATTTATGAAAATATTAAGAAAAGATGAAATTCATATCCCTCCTGTAATGCTCAAGTAGTTTCTAAATTATTTTATTAAAAAGGATGCGTTGTGGCATTTTCTCATTACCACATTCATCATGCACAAATTTTTAAATAATCACAACACAAATCGCGTTGTGGACGTTTTAAATTTGCCAATATGCTCTACATCATTTTTGTGTCACAACACAAATTGTGCGCTGTGGATTAGTTTGAGAAACCGCAACGTATTGTGATCGATTTTTACGCTTAATGAACGCTGTCGGCCTTTGGGTATAACATTTACATTACAATAATCAAAATCTTTAGCAACTATTTATGAAAATATTCATGAAAGGTAAAATTAATTTCCCCTTGTTTCCTGTGGTACCTACTCAAACAATTTTCAGACTATTTCGCAAAAACGGAACTGTCTAAAATTAAAATTCACCTACTAAAAATATCTTTTGTGTAACTGGTCCCGTCATCTCTTTTGTGGAGGATATAAAGCTGCAACGGTAGAATGGTTCAAAGATTAAAGTTGTCACAAAATAAGCTCCTTAAGGCTTATAACAACCAATGAAAAATCGAGGTAACTAACCGACGTCGTGGCGCGACGTGACGTATAACGTCACTATATAATCCAAAAAGCCACCAGCTGTCGCTTTTCTGAATCCTAGACAAAAGCTTCACCAGTAATTAACACATTAGTAGATAGGTTTTTAAAATACAATATTTTTACAATATATGTTTCAAAAACCGATAATTAATTAAACGTCGCGGCGCTACAAAGAACCCATTCTTAAAGACTTACATTGTTGGACATCAAACGAATGTAATCTATTACTTGTTGAGGCATTTAATTTTTGAAACAACTCTATATTATGAGTTAAGTTTCAAAAGAATTTATTTACAATTAAGCAAATTTTTCTATCCCTTCGGAACAATTTTGTATTTTTTTTATAAAATGTTCATCCTATATCCATTTCTATACTCTTGAGAATGTGTATACAAAATTTCATGATATTCAGTTGTGCAGTTAGTTTCTTCATTACCACAATCATCATGGACAAATTTTTAAATAATCACAACACAAATCGCGTTGTGAACGTTTTAAATTTGCCAAAATGCTCTACATCAGTTTTGTGTCACAACACAAATTCTGCGTTGTTGATTAGCTTGAGAATACACAACGTGTTGTGATTGATTTTTACGCTTAATGAACGCTATCGGTCTTTGGGTACTACATTTGCATTACAGTAATCAAAATCTTTAGCAACTATTTATGAAAATATTCATGAAAGGTAAAATTAATTTCCCCTTGTTTCCTGTGGTACCTACTCAAACAATTTTCAGACTATTTTACTGACAAAATCTGCAAAATGTGTCTCTTGAGACTCGATTTTAATGCGAAAATGAAATTGAAAGAGACCTTTTTTTACAAAAGCTCATAGTTTTTATTTAAAAACGAATCCTCAAAATTTCCACTTACCTAGCTTGTTATTTTTATTTTTTTTTTAAAGAACCAAAATAGGAAAGCTTTATAAAAGGATTCGTTAGTGAATTTAGCACGTTTCCGTTGGTGTGTTAAATTTAGATTTATAAAAGGTGCAGTTTTTGAGACAAGCATTTTAAATTCTGTGAAAACAATGTTTATATTACTGTGTGCACTTTTTCAGTTGTAAACAACTATTGTAGATTTGCAATAATAATCTGCTGTAAGTACTTATTTCTAGTAAAGATTTACGGCTGTTTACGACTTGAAATTATAGTAGATACATTGTTGGGCCAAACTGTCGTAAAATGTCGATAAATTACAATTTATAACTGTAGATAATTGTGAAAGGGGAAAACTGAATAAAAGCTTCAAGTTCAGATAATCGAATTTTGCTATGCTGTCGATGTAATTCAATTAAACAAAATGTGAAAATGCAAAACTCAGAATTGTTAGGGGTAAATAAGGATTTTATTTATTGAGGAATGGTATTGATATCTAGTAAATGAATTTTACAGTCTGTATAAGTTACAGGTCCAGTAACAGATTTGTCAATGAATGTCTCAATTCTTCAGCTCATTCTCTATAATGAATTATTGAAAATATTAAAACAAGTTTACATGATAATATAAAAGTTGTTAACAAAAAATTAAACTGAAATGAACAAAAAAATATTAACATCACGCTGCAATCCAAGACTTCTTGCTGATTCAATCAAATGTACCATAATATTACGAGATAATTCCACATTTAAAAGAGCGTGGTGGGAAGACGCGCTACGACTCTTGCCGGAAAATTTTAAAAGCTTTAATTTTAGTTGCAAACAAGGAATAGAAATAACTGAGAAAGTAATCTATGTAATCTTCCCTTGAGGGTGACATCATTTCTCTCTGTCTTTAGAAACAGTGCCAAGTTGCAGTTCTTCCACTAGGAACGGGGAACGATTTGGCTAGAGTGTTGGGATGGGGTGCATCTTGCGACGACGACACCCATTTACCACAGTTGTTAGAGAAATACGAACGGGCTAGTACCAAGATGTTGGACAGATGGAGTATAATGACATTTGAACGTACAATCGCTATTCCAAAGTTATCGTTGGATACCACCCAACCTGAAGGTACCTTTAAAGAAACGAAAAAGAACAAAATAAATTTTAGTTGTTCTTAAATAACGATAAGCTTCGCACCTGTTTTGTAAGTTTTACATGATTGCAACGTCCTTTTAAATCGGGTCTCAACCGAACAAATTAAGATCTCAACAGTACAAATTTAATATCGATCTCGACCTTATACGTCGAGTTTTTCTGTTGATTTTGAATCTACGAAGTCTTGCCCTTAATGTACATTACACGTACAATCTTAGTCTTGATCTTATAAACATAATCTGGATCTTGCCCTTAGAGTTACACTTTTGGTCTCATTTTTCGATTTTTCAAACCAGGTCACCGTTTTGGCTTAGTCTAATGGTGTAACTGTTGTATTTCTTAGGTCAGTTACACAGCCAGATATGTCAGTACGAAGAATCGCTGATAAATCATTTACAAAACATTCTTCAATCGGACGAGACATCGGTTGTCCTGAATTCGGCGAAGAGATTGTGCGAGACCGTTAAGGATTTCGCGACGCAGGTGACTGAGAGTGGCCTGGCGCGAACGGACGACTCCCTCGGAAAGAAGTGCGAAGTTCTCCAGCACAAATTGGAACTGCTTATGCACACTCTAACAAGTGAGCAACTTGATCTGGATAAATTTGTCGCTTCTTGTGAAGATGCGACGGCGAAATGTAATAAGGATGACACCGAGAGCGAGGCGTCTTATGATAAGAGCAAAGTTGAGAAAGAATTGAGCAATTTCAATTTCCGACGGCACAGGTATGTACCTACATAATATCAATTGTAATAGCAAAGCGAATCATCAATGACCGTTATCAGTATAGGCTCGTCAATCCTAAAACTGCTTCGACACGTACATCCATTCTTTCCTATCCTGAGCTAATCTTCGCATTTTTAACTATTTGCGAACAGTAATCTAATCTAGGCCTACCTCTACCTCTTCAAACTCCCGTTTCTGCCTCTAATATGTCTTTGACTAGACCTTCATGCCTGTGCTATAAACATATAAATAATT